TGAACTGTTTGGGAATTGAAAGAATCCATCATTAATTTGCCACAGAATCGAGGCAATTACATGGCTAAACTAATCATCCTGATCATGTTCATATCCCTTCCTGGTCACCATTGCCAATTGTGGACATGGTGATTGAACCGCATCATTAATTGAGATGGCCTGGCCTGAAATTAAATTGTAAAACTCTAGTGTGAAATGAAGAACAAGGCATCTGGGTTTGGAAAGAATATTTTGTAAGCAACTATGTCCTCTATTAGATACCAGGATCATAGGTAGGATTTACAGATAAAATAAAAATACCTAGTTAAATTTGAATTTCAGGTAAACAACAAATAATATTTTAGAATATCTCAGGCAATATTTGGGAAATACTTATACTAAGAAAATTATGTTTTTTATTTGCAAAATACAGGGTGGGGAAAAAGTAGGTTGATAGCTGTGAGTACATGAAACAGAGTTTATTACTGTATTATTATTTATTCATTATTGTATTCTTTTTCATACAAACAACTATAAACATACTTTTGCCTCATCCTGCATTTTTATTTCATAATTCTGTATTTTTATTTGCTAAATCTGGGTAACTTGGTAATAGATTAGTTTCTTATCTCTATTTTTTAGAGTTTCTGTGGCATATATATTGTTGGCAATGAGAAGAAATAACCATTGGAATTAAAAAAAACAAAACAGTTTTAGTTAGAAGAAGCATGCCAGAGATAAGTGATGTGCTCATCTTCTTTCGTTAGAGGTTTTCCTTCCTCAAACTCTGGTCGGTGGACCAGGAGCAGCAGCCTCACCTGGGAGCACATCACAAATGCACACACAGACGCCACCCAGACCTACCAAATCTGAATCACATCTTAACACAGTCCCAGGAGACTTTAATGAAAGGCTCCACTCTACAAGCTCAATGAAAAGCTATCTTCAAAATAACTGAATCCTTCTCGAGAGGAAAAAAAATCCTCCACAAGAGTGAAAGGAGAATCTGAGACTGAGTTGAGCAATCTGACCTGAAGCCAAGAACATCAGCGAGAGAGGAGAGGCCTCCCAGGGACAGGAGCCCCAGGTACTCAATCTTGTCCATCCCCCACGTCTGTTAGGGCCCAGGCCTAGCACCCAGGGGCATGGAAAACTGGTGGGGATGGATTTTTGATGTTGTTTTGGAGAGCATGGGATTTTACTGATTTGTAATTTGTTTTGTTTGGGCAAGAGGGCTGATGGGTGTTTCTTGGGCTTTTTTTTTTTTTCCTTTTAACTTGAATTTGTCAATACCAATGAATAATCAGTTAAAACGGGTGAGATCTACTCTAGGTAAGATTATTAAAATTCTTCTTTATATATATATACACCCAGCGACCGAACGGCAGAATGGCCAGTCACTATGATGCTCACTGACCACCAGAGGGCAGATGCTCAACATAGGAGTTGCCCCTGGTGGTCAGTGCGCTCCCACAGTGGGAACGTCACTCGGCTGAACATGAGCGGTGTTCCCACTGCAGAAGCAACTGCTCAAAGGGCAGGTCCACAGCTGCTCAGCTGACCAGGATGAACGGCGCTCCCACAGTAGGCCAATCCCCACAAGCCACAACCCCCACCAGTGCACGAATCTGTGCACCAGGCCTCTAGTATTTAATAAACATGGACAAATTTGGTCAATCACCAAATGCCTCCAAATTATCTCACAATTAGTAATGGACTCCCCTTTGTACTAGCACATCTTGCCACATGCAGGAAAACTAGAGACCACGTGAAAAAGAAGCATAATGTCAAAGCCCATCTTCTGAGGTACACAAGTTTCAGAGAATGAGCAAAGACACAGGATCAACTCATGAAGGTGGCTGTCCCCATCTTGCCATAGCACTTCCACCTTGGAGGCCACCTCAACTCCGTCCCTCCTTCCCCATTACCTTGTGTGGGCATTAGAGCATAGATCGGTAGCCAAGTGTGAGCCATGGATTTTGTTGCTGCTCTTGTTATTCATTTATTTCTTTATTATCCATTTCTCTCACCAGAATATAAATTCCATGAGAGCAGGAGTTTCATCTGACTCATTCATGAGTGCACCCCAGTGCCTAGAAAATGCCCGACACCCAGAAGGCACTCCGCAAACATTTGTAGAAGAAATGAATAAAGATGTCCTACAGCTAGGAATACACGGTGTTCTCTCTGGTCACTGCTTATTAATTTTATATTTTTTCATTCATCAATCACAGACTTGGACTTTAGTCTAATATCTTGAATACATTTTTGCTTCATTTTTCAGTAGATAATGCCTGATTGTGTCTTGTAGCTTGGAGTAGAAACTTTTATAATAATAACTCTGATACCATTTCAGAGGGTAAGTAAGTTGCTTCTCACTTTCATTAGCTGCAGTGATATTCTGATCACCCCATGCTATAGTCTCAGAAAAGGGAAGAGGAAGAGTTCTGGAAAACAGTTGTTTTTCTCTTCTTTCTAGAAAAGCACTCAAGATCAAAGGCACTATAAAATAAATCCATAATGGCGTGCACACACACACACACTCACACACACTCACACACTCACACACACACCTCCAGCCTTTCTAAATGTTCTGCAAAGAGCAAGGACATTTCTGGGGCTGTGTGAGGAGAGTCCCGTGCAATCTCATAGCACTCCCAGGGCCTGATTTCACAGACACACTCCGGCAGAATGGAAAATGGAACAGATTTGGGGAAGGCAGAACAGTTTCCAGAGATACAGGATGAGTGACAGGAAATACATCAATCAACACACTTGCTACTCAGGCAGGGTTCGAAACAATTGGTGTTTGCACTCAGTTTCCCAATGAAATCTTGGGCAACTCAATTAACCTCTTTCTGCCACATTCTCATCACTTGTAAATTGAGTACAACAATCTATCTATCTAGCTGCGATTGCACAGGGATTTGGTAATAAATGAGAGTAGACAGCTCTATGTGTGATACCTAATAATATTATATTAACTAGCATGAAATCACGGGGCTACAAGGACTCAAGAGGTCAAACTAGTCCTTTCACTCGGGACCACAATGAAGCCATTCCAGAGGGATTAGATGTAATCCTCTTTTTTAAAAAGTGTCTGTATAAAGAAATTCCCAGAAAACACCCCTTTGTTCATTTATAATGACTCACTCCTGCACCCTTAGCACACGGTGCTTCTGCCCTTCAGTGATGAATACAGTAGCATCCTGGTTTAGAGCATGGGAACTGGAGACAGGCTGACTTATGTCCCCCTGGACTCCACTCTGCCCTGGCTACATGACTTTGAGCAAGTTACGGCCTTAACTTCCTCAAGCCTCCGTCTCTCCTCTAGTTGTGCCACTGACCCCATAAGGTTGGCATCAGGACAAGTGAGTAAACAAGTATGGCGTGTTTCACAGCGCCTGGCTCATGATTTGTGTACCAAATCACCAGTAACATGATGTTCTGGCTGAATAACCCTGGTCCCTATAATTTCTATTTACAGTATAACTTAAAATGTTAATCATTTCATTTTTATGATAGTGCTGCAAACTGTAGAAAGAAGCTAACTGTGTGGAGCAGCTTGGGGAGATTTCTTCTCCATTGCTTCTGGGATGCAAGGGGAAGGCGGTGTGACGTGCTTTGGAAGGTATTGGCTCTCTCAGCAGCAACAAAGATCCTCCTATTTCTCAAGTGCTGTGGAAACAGAGCCAGGGGAATGTAAGGGACCATAGAGAATTTGGGCAGTGCATACATGGGCAGTAACCCGGATGTCTGGAGAGTAGTGACCCTTCCCCCAATTTTTAGATATCAATGTAAACACCCTGGGGTCCTGGTGCTTCCCAGGGAGCAGGAAGTTACCCCTACAGTGTTCCTGAACACCTGAGTATATGGCTGAGGTTTATACCATTTGAGCATGGGGGCTTTACCAATTTACCAAGCGCTTTCACACTCCTAACCTCCTCCGGCCCTGGTAAAATGCCAGTGTGAAAGAAAATTATCCCTCTTCTAGTGCAGTGAATGCAAAGGCTCATGGAGCTTAAGTGTCTTGCCTGGGGTCTCTACATTCCAATCTGCATACTTCCTACTATGCCTATGACTCACTGCATCCAAGATCTTTTAGCCTAACCTTGAAATCCAGCATTGCCATGTGAGAGTGTATTCCAATGTGAAAGGGAAGCCACATTAATAAATGGGCCTGTAGGATACAAAATTGCATCTGCAGCATGTTTAGAGTTATGTTGCAAAAAACTCGAAGCTATGCAGAGAAAAAAAAAATCCTCATGTATATTACAGCAAAATGGTAAAGGCAAGTGGGCTTAGGTGGTAGGTGGTGGGCAGATTATTTTTATACAAATTTATTTAATGACGCACATGTTATACTTACAGTGGGAAATACGAGTAATAATTTTTTTCAGGTAGCTTTAGAATCAAATAATTCTCCAACAGCAAGGCAGCTTCTTGTAGGAAATCATATATATATATATATATATATATATATATATATATATATATATATATATATATCCCCTTTATCTCCTCAACCACTCATTCTTGACCTAGCTATTAAATCAAATTATTCAGGATGACATCAATTTTCTATAGATATGCCAAGGCAATGACAGGAATCACTTCTAAATTTTGACAGAAGTCCAGATTTTGCCCTGAAGGAACAAATTCATATTCCGAGTAGCAAATTAGAAGAAATAATAAACAGAATTCTACATGAGCACTGAGTCTTTCTTAGCTCCTCATACTGGCCTCTGAAAGAATTCCTGTCTGGAACTTCCGAGTATAACTTTGGGGACAGTGTGGGGTGAAAGGAACCAGCTCTTTCAGATCATCTATTCCTCACAAAGGGAAGGGGAACATCAGTGGGGCCCTCTTTGGCATGTCAGCCTTCTGCTTCATCCATGAGCATCCCAGGACCGTACTTATATGAAAACACAGACTTTCCTGGCTGTGGCTTCACCTCACAGGATCTCTGAAGTAGTAAGGCCAGAAGGTACCTAACGTTTTCTCAAATCATGATCACTCACCTTCACACAGCCCAGTGTTCTCCAAGTAAAACTGGGCTCTACAGTGAGACAGACACTCGCCCGAGCTGATGTTCACACCAGACAGCGGCTCGGCTTGCAGTCCTTCCTCTGGCTTCTTGCACTGGGTACAGTGAGAGCGCTCTGGACCCACACAAGTCAGACAAGAGGAATGACAGGCTGCCAAAAGGAAAAGAATGCAGAAAACAATCCCAGGGTCATATATAGGTTGCAACCAATGGGGGGCTATCATTAAATCAAAACCACTAAGAGAAGTTCACCAGATACATCCTTCCAGAATACTGTTTTTCTAGTGTGCTATACCAAAACACAAGGTGATAATAATAATACTTGCGAAGGGCAAAATGAGGGTGAGGCTAACTAGTCATATCTCTCAGGTCCTGTAAGAGCTGCCTAGCGAGATTAAAAAGAAAAACAAAACACAACACAAGAATAACAGCAAAATGGACAATATTGGCTTGGTTCTCCAGAGAAACACATTCACTGAATGGCGATTTAACATTATGTCTTCAGTTTTTATTGAAGGTTTTAAGAAGCATTCACATAAAGGCTATTGCTGTGTTTTTTGCAAACATGGTCATTGTGATATTGTCCATTATGTTATTCATCACCCAGTATATAGGGGTCCAGACGACAAATTCCCTTTAGAATTTATGAGAGGAAAGGCTGCTCTTCTAAACAAGGAAGAGGCCTCTTTTGAGCAGCCACGATAATTTCATAATCCATCACAGCTCCTTGTTTTCCCTGGCTACTGGTGGAAATCAAAGCCAAATGGAGTACATGAGTTCTCTCGGGCCCACATTTTATACAATTAGCGTTCCTGCTCTTTAAAAGACTCACTACATTCTCCTTTTCATAATATTTATTGCAGCTGCCTGTTTTAAAAACATTTTGCTTGTAACTATTCTGAAGCTCTTTTCTAAGGTGCCCTGTGCATAAATAAATATAAGTTAATTTCATTTGAAGTGTTTGCTCCCAATGCTCTAGTTCCAAAAAGCTGAAATGATACTGCCCTCCAAAGGAGCCCAAAGCCTTTCTTGGCAAACAGCTATTTAAGCTTTTCCATTTTCCTCAGCCCAGAGGCATTGCTGGTGACGCTCAGTGTGCTCGGCAGTATCATTAACAAAAAGAGCTTCTTCAGGGAAAAACAAAACGAAGACTAAGGAAGACATTAGCAATGCTAGAAGAATAGAAAAGGGAGAAAATGAGAGTGGTTCTAATGCATGGCAAAGGAAATGGCATCCCTCTAAAGGATGGCCAAAAACATCATGAACCTGTGGGAGTCTTCACAGATATTGAAATGTAATTTTTCAGATTATCTCTTGGTAAGAAAAAAAAGCATATACTGTATATATTGCCATATAAGACAGTGATGGCGAACCTTTTGAGCTCGGCGTTGTCAGCATTTTGAAAAACCCTAACTTAACTCTGGTGCCGTGTCACATATAGAAATTTTTTGATATTTGCAACCATAGTAAAACAAAGACTTATATTTTTGATATTTATTTTAGATATTTAAATGCCATTTAACAAAGAAAAATCAACCGAAAAAATGAGTTCGCGTGTCACCTCTGACACACGTGTCATAGGTTCGCCATCACTGATATAAGATATACCAGAGAAAAAGCTGAACTGAAAAGTAACTCAGGTCCTGAGCGGGGAGTTCAGTTGGTTAGAGCCCTGGATTTGTGCATAAGATTCCCGGTCAGGGTATATACAAAAATCAACCAATGAATGCATAAATAAGTGGAACAACGAATCAATGTTTCTCTCTCCCTTTCTCTCTCTAAAATCAATCAATAAAAATATAGTAACTTAAATCTATGTCCTTTTAGATGGGAAAGTCACTTAAGAATACGATGACATCAATGATACCTTTGCAGATCCCGCGGTCGGGGTAGAAGCCCTCTCCACAGTTGGGCAGACAGTGGCCTTGGCGCAGAGCCCGAGAGTGGGCGCAGGCTGTACAGTGAGAGGCCCTGGGTCCCGAGCAGCTGGCACACGAGTTATGACAGACTGAGGAAGAGAGTGAGAGATGAACACAAAGAGACCCAAGTGACTTTAGAGCCCACTTCTTGGCTGGGTTCGGTATGTGCTGGGAAGCCCTCTCCTCCATCACTCTCAATCTCTTTTCAGCTCTCACACCAAATCAAAAGAAAAGATGTGTTAGGGGGTGATTATATCTCTAGAACTGCCCACATTGCCCAATTACCCACTTTTATCCATGTTATACCTATTTATATCTATATTTACTACTAGTTATCCTTTATTTAGTATTTGTATTAAGTGTTTTATACACATTACCACTTTTAATCTTCACAGTAATATTAAGAGATAGGTATTATTAATACTAGTGGCCTGGTCATGAAATTTGTGCACGGGGGGGGGGGGGGGGGTCCCTCAGCCCAGCCTGCACCCTCTCCAATCAGGGATTCCTTGGGGGATGTCTGACTGCCGGTTTAGGACATCCCTCTCACAATCTAGGACAGCTGGCTCCTAACTGCTCACCTACCTGCCTGCCTGATCGCCCCTAACTGTCTTCCCCTGCCACCCTGATCTCACCCCCAACTGCCCTCCCCTGCCAGCCTGATCTCACCCCATCCCCAACTTCCCTCCCCTGCCAGCCTGATCTTGCCCCAACTGCTCTCCCCTGCTGGCCTGATCGCCCCTAACTGCCTCTGCCAGCCCTCTCCTGCTAGCCAATTTGGTTCTGATTGGTCAGTTTCTATGTCAGTCAGCGTCGAAAGCTCCGCCTCCTAGGCAGCCATTGGCTCCTCACAGTTCACCCAGATTTGGTTCTCATTGGTCGGTTTCTATGCCAGTCAGCATCTCCAGGCCTATCTTTAGGCCTGATAAGAGAGGCGGGGCTGATCAGCAGCCCCCACCAAGGCCCTGAAACAGACACACGGCTGCTGGCAAAGCCCAGAAAGAGAGAGAGAGGGGCAATGGCTGATCAACAGCTACCATGGAGGCTACGGATCACACCCTGCTCTCTCTCCGGGCCCCTCTCCAGGCCTGATCTGCAGCTCCCTCAGCAGTCAGTGCTGGGTTGCTGTGCCCACACCAGTGGCAGTCAGTACTGGGTCGCCATGGCAACCCAGCACTGACTGCAGGACTAACTTCCAGTGTTTGGTCGAGCTTTCAGTCGGTTGTTACGGACCTTGGGTTTTTACATATTAGGATCATTTTAAAGATGAAGAAACTTGTCTTGGGAAGTTAAAATATTTACCTAAGATCACAGGTAATTAGTAGCAGGTCTGGAATTTAGCCCTGGGTTTGTCTGAATCTAAAATTGCCCATCTGAATAGGGGTGAGTAGAAAGTTCATAGGTTTGAGTGTTGGGAGCAGTGGAATTTGAATTTATCTATGCCCTTCACCATGTCTGGGTATCTCCAGGCCTAGTTTCCTTGGCTTACACACTGTGAGAAGTTGGACTAAATGATTACTTAAGGTACCTTCAACTTGGATATTCTGAGACTCTAAGTAAGAATTACATTTAAGAATCTGACCACTACAGCCCTAACCGGTTTGGCTCAGTGGATAGAGCGTCAGCCTGTGGACTGAAAGGTCCCAGGTTCGATTCCGGTCAAGGAGGACATGTACCTTGGTTGTGGGCACATCCCCAGTGGGAGGTGCGCAGGAGGCAGCTGATCGATGTTTCTCTCCCATTGATGTTTCTTAACTCTCTATCCTTCTCCCTTCCGCTCTGTAAAAAATCAATTATATATATATATATATATAAATATATATATATATATATACAATGTCAGACACACACATCTCCTTTGGTCCTGGGTGGTGGGCAAAACATAGGTCAACAGTTGTGAGTATGCGAAACACAGAGTTTATTCCTGTACTATTATTTATATATTAATTATTGCATTATCATTTATTATTATTATTAACCTACTTTTGCTTGCCCCTGTAGTATTTATAAATGCCACCTAAGGAATGATTCTGTCATACCTTTGATCTAAGTTGGTGATGGTTTACAAGTACACAAGTACACTATGAAGGTCTTAAAGATGTTCCTGGCATTTCAAAAAGACCAAGTGATCTCTAATGATTGATTAATATACATATATATATATATATATATATATATATATATATATAAGTTTTTAAATATTTAATCACTCTAGTATCTCAGCATCCACCCCTGTCTCCCATTCCCATACCACATACATGGAGATTCTCTAATGAAAAAGCTATTCCTTTTGACATTTTCCCATTAGACACACAGATTCCAAAGTGAGCAGATACAACTCCCAGTCTAGTCAATGATGATTATGACAATGATGGCCCATGTCTTACCTTTGCATCTGCCAGTGGCATCAGCATAGTATCCACCAGGGCATTCAGAAATGCACTTGCCATCATGCAACACTGCCTTCTCAGCACAGGTAAGGCATCTGGGACTATTGGGGCCACAACTTTCACAGGATTGGTCACAAGCTAAGGGAGAGGAAAACCCATTAGAGAAAGTCAATAGTGAGCCAACGGAGCAGAGAAGTCTATTCATTACAACGTCCACAGTTGGTATCGACATAGTAATCTCATTCTCTGACTGCTCAACTGAGTGCTGTTTCCTTGATTCCAATATTTCAAAAGATCTGCATTTTCTGTCTTCACAGTTGAAGAACCAAAGAATTATTCATTGCACTAAGCATAACAAATACTCTGAGGCATTCCACCCCCTCCAGTGTATCCAATGTAATAAAGGATTTAAAGTTAAAGTGGCCTCAGAGATAGAGCTGCCAGATTTAGCACATAAAAACACCAAATGCCCCGTTTAATTTGAACTTCAGATAAATAATGAATAATTAGTTAGTTTAAGTTTGTCCCAAATATTTCATCTTTTATCTGGCAACCCTAGTTGGGGAGAGAATTCAGAAACTCAGAGTTCTTCTAAGCAAGGTTATGCTACAAAAATGTTAAGTTGTTGAACTCTCTCAATCTTCCAGGATCTACTCACTCACTTATGCATTCATATGAAAGGTCAGGAAAGGATTTGTATAATAGCGACCCTTGAACATTGTCTTGGGAAGTGAATCAGAGTGTGCTCAGCTAATGGGAATGGCCTCAGCAGCAAGGCAAGGGAAGGTCCAGGGCCTGGCAAAAGTTTGGGCTGTCCAGAGAAAAAGCAGCTCCATTCAGCTGGAAAAGTGGACAGGGCCAGACGATATAAACTTGTATGCCAGACTCTACAGTCTAGATTCTCATCTTTATGGAAGGAAGGCAGCAGGAGCCCTTGCCAAGTTTTGATTATAATAGAAACATCGCCATATTGGGTATAAGAAAGATTAGTTTGGCTTCAGTTTAGAGGATAGATTGGAGAGGTGATGAAGGAGAGTTGGGGGTCTAGCTGGAAGACTATGGCCATGCTCACAGAACAAGATGATCAGGGATTGAATCAAAGCTGTGGAGAAGATGATAGATTTGAGGCCTGTGTAGGAGAAAGTGTCTCAGATGGACTCCAGGGGTCTGGCTTAGGGGATGAGTGATGCCACTCACAGAATGCAAGAAGGAGAATGGTCGTGAGGATTCTCATGGGCTGTTTTGGATAGGTGCCACCCAGGAAACAGCCCGATTTATAGTTCTGGAGCTCTGGGGGAGACCTGGGGGTCATCACATACAGGTGGTTGTTGAAATCAGAAGTTAGTTGATTTATTCAGGAAAGGCATAAAGGATAAGGCAGTAGTAGTCAGGGATCTGAGAGCGCCAACATTTAACGGAAAAAGAAAAAACTAGCAAATGTCACCAAGAAGAAATGACACAAAGGTAGAAGAGAAAACCGGAGTGTGATGGCTGAGAAGCTGAGGGGAAAAAAGTTTCAAGAAGGAAGTGATTAAAGTGCAGAAAGGACAAATAAAGTCTGAACATGGCTCACTACATTAAGACATTGAGATATGGGTAACCTGTACCACTACCATTTAAGTGGAGTCATTAGAATGAAAGTGAAGGCCATGATTATTAACTGTTCTCTTAAAGGCTCCTGGCTGTGAATGGATGGGGACAGAGAGAGAAATAATTAAAAGGGTAAGAGGATGTTTTGTCTCTCCAATATTGTAAAAGCTCAAGGCAAGTATAGACCCAAAGAAAGGTTTTTAAAAGAGAAGAGTTTAAATAATTCTTCAAAGAATACCTAGGAGGAAAAGGGACTGTACATTCAAAAGTACAGAAGGAGAGATTAGCCTTGGACAGTCCAGAAGAAGGCCTCCTTTCCTGAAAGTGAAAGAAGGTAGGTGAGGGTAAATGCACCAGCAGGTAAGTCTGGGACTCTATCTACTCTATACCCATTGGTTAAATACTTTAAACACAAAACAGACCTTCTCACTATTAGAGAATCAATGCTGAGTCTATTCTACCTGTTCTTTTCATCCACTTACACCATGCTAATCTCCTGAAAAACATTTTAAGACCTAGGCAAACAATATGGCCAAATGTTCCATCCTGCATTCTGAAGGATTCAGCATCTCACTAGAAGCAAATGTGTAAGGCAAGATAATATTCAGTAAGTGGACAAAGACAATGATCTCTATACCAAAGAAAAAGAAAATCACCCTCTCAACTCATAACTGGAACAAAGAAGCAAACATAAATCTGAAAAGCATCCTTCCACCCACCCTCCATAAAAATCTCCAAAGTTTCTAATTCTGGAACTGACATCTCAACAGAGCAAAACAATCTTTAAGCTAAGTGGATTTCCCCAGAAATAAACAGTAGCAGAAATTTTTTGAAAATGTAGAGTTGACCAACAATAAAAAACATTATAAGTCAAACATTTTTTAAGATCCACCTAATGTAATAAAGTGTAATTTGTAAATTTAAATAAAATTATTAGAAGATATCATTTCCTCCCAAACTAGTCTATAACTTCAATATAGTATTAATAAAAATTCTAGCTGTATTTTATTAGGAATTTAATAAACATGTTCTAAAGCCCATGAATAACTAAGTCAACTTCGAAACTGAAGAGACAAGAAAGGGAAAATTTACCCAATCAGGTATTGAGACATACTGCAAAGAAACAGAAATTAATGAAAATATAAAACAAAACAATGTGATCATGTACAGGACAGAAATTTAGACTACTGGAATAGCTCAGAGACAGACCTATGTGCACACAGAAATTTAATCTATACTAATAAAAGGGTAATATACTACTTAGACCGGACATCTTCTGGACAAAGCCACAGCGGCTGCTGCTGCGAGGGCCTGGCTGAGGCTCAGGCAGCCAAGGCAGCTGGCAGTGGCAGCGGCAGTGGAAGCAGCATGATGGGGCGTCGCCTTCCCCGGTGCCTTCCCATGATCAGCTGCAGAGGAAGGCCAGATTGTGGCTTAGACTAAGCTGTCAGTAGGATATCCCCTGAGGGCTCCCAGACTGTGAGAGGGGGCAGGCCAGGCTGAGGGACACCCCCCCACACACCAGTGCACAAATTTTCATGCACCGGGCCTCTAGTATACAATAAAGATCAATGGAGATGGTTAGATTGAATTACTAGATGATCTTGGGAAAACTGGATCATGAAATGAAGAAAAATAAAACTGAATCCCTACTTAAACCCATATCCATAAGTGGACTTCAGGTGGTTCAAAAAAGTAAGTTAAGATAAAACTGTCTGGTTAACAGAAGAAAATGTAGAATAATTTCTTTGTGAACTTGAGCAGAAAAAAAAGATAATTCAAGTTCAAAATGGGCAGAATTCTTTTTGAAAATTCAAAATCAAAATGTTGAAGTAAAAAATGATGAATTAAAATTTTCTGTTCAACAAAGGGCAGCAGAGTAACAGCTAAAAGGTAAAAAATTGGGAAATATTTGCATATTTGAGACTGACGAGAGTTAATACCTATAACATACAAATAATTCCATAAAGTCAATAACCAAAAGGCAGAAAGGCCCTGCATAAAACAATGGGGAAAACATTGTAAAATGCAATTTATAGAAGAGGAAACACAAAAGTCCAAAAGGAGTTGAAGATATTTTCAAGCTCATTAATAATAAAAAGGATGCAAATTAAAATGGGATGTCCCTGTATACCTATTGACCAGAGAAAAATCTAAAGCTTGATAATGCCAAGTGGTAGTAAACATGTGGGAATGGGAGATTTCATGCTTTGGGTTATAGATGGTGGTGAGCTACCTGGCACTACTTAGTCATAGGGAATATTCAGAGTCAAGAAGTAATAGTGTCAACAATAAAAATAAAGATATATATTATATATATGTACATATGTAGGGAGTGGCTCTAGAATTAAGCCTCGGATTGACCTGTGGCAGAGCCACAAACAAGTCCCAGCTTAGAGGGCAGAGCCCTCTTAGCTTAGTAAGCTTAACCTTATAGCGCTCCCTAGATCCTTCCTGGGTAGCTAATGGGCTGTGGGAGGTGCAGCAAGTGCTGCCAAAACAAGTGAAACTCAGAAGAACATTGTAATTATGTTGAACACTACCTTGTTTTTCTCTGACTACAAAATAAAGCCTCAGCTTGCTGGCTGGATCCTTCTCTGTGGCCTCATCCAGGCACAGGAGATCCACCAGCCCCAGCTGTATTCTCTTTGTCTGTCTTTTCTTTAATCCTTCACCGCCCCTCCTCAGGCTCACCGAACCCTTGGCTGTGCTAGCGCAACATACACACACACACACACACACACACACACACACACACAGAAACCAACAATTTTGCTCCTGGGTTAGCCATTCCAGAGAACCTCCCACACAGTTCATGAAAGGCCATTTTTGCAGCTATTTGCTAGTGCTCTCTAGTGATGGCACATGGATGGAAGAAACACAGGGAGTCTGTCACTGGGGAGTAGATGCATGAGCTGTGGGGATGGAGACCAGGGAGGACTATGCAGCAGCAAGAAGCAAACGGCTAGATGATATAGTAACATGGATGAATCTTAAAAACATAATGCTGAGAAAAAAAGGAAGAGAACAACATGACTTCTATAACATGATATCATTAAGTATACATGCACACACAGTTACCCTTGTTGGGGTATCAATCCTCCCCATGCAGTCAAAATCCACATGCAATGTTTGACTCCTCCAAAACTGAACTACCCTAAGTATCTGTGGGGAATTGGTTTCAGGACCTCCACAGACACCAAAATCTGCAAATGCTCAGGTTCCCTACATACACTAGCATGGATCAATGCATACAGTTAGTCCTCAGCATCCCAACCATGGATTGAAAACAGTACAGGTATTTATTGAAAAAAAATCTGCATATAAGTGGACTCACACAGTTTAAGCCTGTGTTGTTTGAGGGTCAACTGTTCTCAAAAGGATATTACCCTGTTTATATAAAAACAAAAAGATTAAAAAATAAAATAAAATAGTTGCCTAGGTAAAGAAGGGAAAGAAGAATAAAAGGGGAAAAAAGGCAGAAGAATGGAGAGAACAGTTAACAGAAACCTCTGAACTTGCTTTGATTTATGTTAGCTACAGTCATGAAAGCCTTCTTAATAACACAAGTACTTAAATGACCAAAGAATGAGGAGGTTTGTCCTTTGAGTTTCCCCACCCTTTATATCTAATATTTGTAAAACTCAAAGCATGTACCACAGATGAACGTGGTTACTGTAAATTCTTTCAACCAGGACATACCATCGTTCATAACAGTTTATTCTGGATTTTTTTCAGCACTTGACCTTGAGATTGCTACAGATATGAGCTGCTTGGTTATAAATTATTAAACCAACACCAGCCGGTCTTTATCTTGAATAGCACTAATCTGAATTGGAAATGAGTCAGCACTATCAGCATCAGACATCATAATTAACATTCTGATACCAATCAGCAACTTGGTTCACCGATGTTCAGGAAATATTATTTGAACATTTCTGAAAGCACTTGATAAAAACTTAGAAAACTCTGAAAAGTGTAAATTCTAATCTTGTTTATCAAAAGGCATGTTGGTGAAGGCCAGTTGCGTTACAGAGTCTAGCATGTGCTAAGTCAGTGGTCGGCAAACAGCGGCTCGCGAGCCACATGCGGCTCTTTGGCCCCTTGAGTGTGGCTCTTCCACAAAATGCCACGTGCTGGCACGCACATACAGTGCTATTGAAACTTCGTGGCCCATGCGCAGAAGTCGGTTTTCGGAAAGGAGACGAAACAAGTATACAAGACGAGTGTGGATGGGAGAGTTGGAAGGGGTGGACCTCAGTGAACGTACCTCAATCAGATTGAGGACGTTTTTAGCAAAGGCCAGCTTAGGAGTACCCTAATTAAGTTAATAACAATGTACCTACCTATATAGTTTAAGTTTAAAAAATTTGGCTCTCAAAAGAAATTTCAATCGTTGTACTGTTTATATTTGGCTCTGTTGACTGAGTTTGCCGACCACTGATCTAGACGAGTCTCAACTGGGCTGACTGGGCACTTCAAGTCTCTGCCACGTATCTGTTCCATGCCAGTAGGCTACCTCAGGAATGTCCTCGTGGAGATGACAGAAACACAAGAAAGAGCAAGGCCTCTCGAATTGTAGACTTAGAAGCACCATACTTGCACTTCTGCTTCATTCTGTTACCCAAAGCGAGGCACATGGTCAAGTCCAGAGACAGAGGACACTTCAAAGTTAAATGCCCAAGAGGGTGGATGCAGAGAGGGTGAAAGATCATTCAACCCATCAGCAAGACCTATCAATTCTACCTTAGAAATACTTTCCACACCTGTCCCATACTCCTTCTATCTTATTGCTACCACCACTTCAGTTCACCATGATCTCTCTTACCTATCACCACCTGACTGCTCTGTCCAAATCTTTCTTGTCCATTCCTTCTCAGACCATTCTCAATGCAGCAACGAGAATAAACTTAAAAAGAAAACCTGCTGTGACCACTCATTTAATTAAGTTTGCCAAATGGTTTCCTATTGTTCTCAGGATAAAGGTGAAAATCCTAAGGCCTGAATTGTTTTCAATTTTCAATTCAGGGGACATTTTAAAGCAAATAGGTGAACCTGGTGAAAGGGAGAAAGAGAGTGAAGAGCGAGTGAGGGAAAGAGAGGCTTTGTAATGACTTCCATGTGAGCACAGCCTGGGACCCCTTTCTCCAACCTCATCTCCTTCCATCCTTTCTTTCACTTTATGATTTGAACACATCATAATTCCCCAACTTGTACACTATTTCAAGCCTCTGAGGTCTTACTTTTGTGTCCAAGTAGAGTTGTTTATCCCTCCTTTTGGTACGGATTGAAAGCCCCTGTGCCTTTCTCCTTTCCTTCTTCCAGGGAAAAAGAAGAGAGGTGAAGAGCGCAGATTGGTTTGGCTAAGTGGATAGAGCGTTGGCCTGTGGATTGAAGGGCCTGAGGTTCGATTCCAGTCAAGGAGGAGAGAGAGGAGGGGGAGAGGATGAGGAGGGGGAGAAGAAGGCCTACTCTTGCAAGAATTTCATGCATCAGGCCTCTAGTTTTATATAAAGACTTGAGCATTGGCAGATTTGGGTATTTGCATGGGTTGTGAAACCAATCCCCGGTGGATACTGAGGGCAATGGTAGAGTACAATACAGTTGATAATACATTGATGTTTCTCTCTCTCTCTTCATCTCTGAAATCAATAAAAAAATATTTTAAAAAAAGAAACTAATACAACCTTCTGAGAATCAGACATTGGGCTGGATAACATGGAAACATCTGTAGTTTGTGGGACAACAAATGCAGGCTGGTGCGGAGAGATGCAGGATTGAAGGCTAAGAGCTCTCTCTTCCCTAAGGCAAGTGGACTTGTCAACTCCCAAAGATCAACTCATCCATTGCTACTGGCCTTTCTATTGGTATGCCCAAAGCAAACGCAATCACTCACTGTCAGGTGGCTATCTGTCTATTTGGCAATGTCTACAGGGGCAGGGGAATGATCTGAAGACTGACAGGAGGGCAGGAGGAAGGAGGAGAAGAGAAAGAGGGGAGAGGAAAATAGAAAAAGAAGAGAGGGGAAATCTAGGAAGAGGTGTGTAAGGGGGATCACACTGTAGTGAAGAGGCAGTTAACATCTAGAGCCAGAGACCAACTCTATCTCTTAGGAGTTATGTGATCTTGGGCTAGTTTTTCATCAGCAAAATGAGCATGATGATAATAACTATCTTATAAAATTGTTGTGAGGATTAAACACCGAACACTTACATAGCACTTACTCTGTGTTGGGCACTGTTCTAAATGCAATGCTATTAACTCATTCCTCTCAACAGCCTTCTGAGGTGGGTGTGTATTAATTTCCCATTGCTGCCTTAACAAATTACCACCAACTCAGTGGTTTAAAACAACACAAATTCATTATCACTCTAGAGATCAGAAGTCCTAAAATCAGGATGTTTGCAGAGCTGCATTCCTTCTGGAAGTCCTGAGGGGGGAGGGGGGTCATTTCCTGTCTTTTTCCAGCTTCTGGAGGCTGCCTGCCAGTTCATGGGCCCCTTCCTGGCATCACTCTGACCCCTGCTTCCATCTCTGATCTTCTTTTCTGACTCCCACCCTCAAGCCTTCCTTCTATAAGGACCCTTGTGATGACACTGGCCCAGGCGGGTAATCTAGGATAATCTCCCATCTCAAGACCCTTAACTTAATCACACCTCCCAACCCCTTCTGCCATTGAAGGCGGCATAATCACAAGTTACAGTGATTAGGATGTGGACATCTTTGAGGGGCCACTCTTCTGTCTACCACGGGTGCTGTATTATCCCCCTCCAGGAAACTGGCACATAGAGAGATTAAGTAACTTGCCCAAGGTCACGCTTTCCCCACCGTACTTTCCTGCTTCTCAGTGAGTGCGTGTTTATGAGGTACTTGGAACAGTGACTGGCACAGGGACACAGGAAGCCGGATTAACGCTTACTGTTGTGCAGTGGGTATTAAAGGTAGGCTAAACAAGAACTGCTTTAGTTTTAAGTCAGTGGCACCAAAAACAAAGGCAGGTCTGCCCTTGGCTGACCTGGAAGTGTCCTTGTCTCCATGCATATTTGGAAGGCAGGCTGAGATTTGGAGAAAGGAAGCCCTGCTCCTGTCCCTTCAGCTGTGGGTCTGGAACAAGCAGCTCAGTCCTCACTGTCTTTATCTGCAGAACAAGCTAAACACCTTGAGGGGAAAGAGGAGGTATTAAAGGGGATCCCCCCCAAGTAAAAACACATTTTGCAAACTACTAAAACACCAGCAATGTCAGCATATTGCATATTCATTGAGTAAAAGAAACATTAGTTATTGGTGCTGATTTGAATTAAACGTGGGACCCCTGAAAGAGGAAAAGATGCAAAGTCTGGCACCTACCACTGCAGGTGCCCTGCTTGTTGTAAAACCCAGGGCCACAGCTGCTCTCACAGGCGCCCTCTCTCAGCACGTGGAGCGGGTCCCTGCAGGCCAGGCAGTGTTTCTCCGTGGGACCCCAGCAGGCGGCACAGGACTCGTGGCAGGCTGCAGGCAAACAGCAGAGTCAGTGAACAAGCCATAGCACAAAGGACTGGTCAGTTTCTCCTGGAAAAGTTTTGAAATTTATAAGGAGGATGTTGGCTCCTTCATCCCTAAATTGCTCTGCACATGTGTACACCCCAAGAGACCCCCCCCGCCCCCGCCAAAAAACAAACAACAACAAAAAACTATTTATCTTGGCCAGAACTACAATTCCAATTAATTATTGCTGGGGAAAAATTGGAATAGGAAATCAGGAGCTTTTGAAAAATGGAAATCACAGGGAAGGAAACCATAATGTTCTAGACCAGCGGTTCTCAAACTGTGGGTCGCGACCCCTTTGTGGTCGAACGACCCTTTCACAGGGGTCGCCTAAGACCATCGGAAAACACATATATAATTACATATTGTTTTTGTGATTAATCACTATGCTTTAATTATGTTCAACTTGTAACAATGAAAATACATCCTGCATATCAGATATTTACGTTACGATTCATAACAGTAGCAACATTACAGTTATGAAGTAGCCACGAAAATAATTTTATGGTTGGGGGTCACCACAACATGAGGAACTGTATTAAAGGGTCGCGGCATTAGGAAGGTTGAGAACCACTGTCCTAGACGAAGATGGACTGTCTAATAAGGTCAGACGTCGCTCTGTCATGTTGCCTTTGCAGCCACACAGCAAAGTGAAAGCCACACAGCTAGAGACACTTCTGTCTCCAGCACCATCTACAATCAGCTAAGGAAGGAACACCGTGTCCTCCAGTCCTTGATTAGACCTTGAAGGACCTAGTATCGTTTGACCATGTGGCTTTTCCCCTCCCTTTCCATCTCCTCTCTCTCCATCCCTCAGCATACCCTCTCCTGCTCTCCCTCACAACTCCTTCAATCTCCCACAAGCTCTGGTTACCCCCAGTAGCATCGGCTCTCAACGTGCACCCTGAGGATTCACAGAGCCTGCTTTTTCCTTACACTTTAGGTTTCTAACTATATGTTGTTCCCAGACCAACACTGTTCCTTCCTTTAAGACTCCAAAATTTCCAGCATTTAATTTTTATTACTCTTTCGGCTTGCTCTTCACCTTAGAGAGGCCTATTCTAGACTGAGTATATTCAGACGTAACTCTCTGTATGGTTAACCCCACCTTTGCTTTTGTTATGCATTCTAATTTTCAAAATGTTTGCTTCACAATGGAACACAACCTGTTTTGCAGACATATTCAGTCTGACCAAAACTGGTGGGAGGGATGCCTTAGTTGATTGCAAGTGACTTGGGGATTTCACTTAAGTAATTTAATTAGGTATCTGTTTGGAAACAGAAGAAAGGATAACTACACTGCAAATCTCAAGACCCAGTCCTCTCCTCTCTGTTCTAAACTGCACATGAAAGCACAATCTCAGACAACTTTTCTCCCCAATGAATTGAGAGAAAATGACAATTTGTGTTAAGTGCTAGCAGGACTCTGATAAAGAATAACAGTGGTGAGGCTGGAAAGGACTGGCTTTAGGTGGAGCTAAAGGATGAGAAGTAACCAGCATGGGCAGAGCGAAGAACAACACAAAGGTATTGAGAAGGGAAGGAGCTTGGGGTTCAAGGAACTGAAGGCTGCCCTCCTGGCTGGAGCTGGAGCTGCTGGGGTGGGGGCGGGGCAGAGCAGGACAGGGTGGCCTGATTCATTACTGGAGGTAAGGCAGAGGCCCTATCAAACTTGACCTTGGAGACCATGGAAAGAAATTAGGATTCTATCCTAATTGCAATGTGAAGTCATGAACAGCCTTAAGAAGGATAGACACAAGCCCCGATTTAGATTTTTAAAGGCTCTCTCTGGTTGCCATGAATAGAGGGCTCAAGGGCTTACGTGAAGGTAGGGAGACCAGTGTGGAGGCAATGCTGTGGTCCAAATGAGAGATACTGATGGCAAGTAGGAAGCAGAAATGGAGGAACATTTACTTATTATCTGGTTTCATGAGCCCATAAGCTTCATGAGAGCAAAGCCCATTTCTATTTTGTTAACTCCTCACCAAGCATACTGTTTGGTGCTCTACAAACATCTCTTGAGTGTCTTCATTTACATTTAACATCTCATTGGTATTTTACAAGTGGTACACAGAATTCTTTACATATTAGGATAACTACTAGCACTACATTATAACTAAAGACATGGATGCAAAGATCCCAGTAACAAATTCTACTACCCTCAATACACATGAAATCTGTCATTTATTTATTCAACTACCCTTCAATCAGGGGCCATAGTCATTGTCTGAAGTGTCTAACACTGTTCATGTCTCTGTCTCACTGACTCAGGAATTGATACAAAGTATTTACCTAAACAAATAAACAAAAGAAGCCCAACCTCACATCTAAGAAGGTCCGCCAGGTTGACCTGTCTATCAATGCTCAGAAACACCTACTCTGTGCAAGATGCTGCGCTAGCCTGTGAGGCCTTCCCAGAGCCACAGGTAAGCCTAGTACCTGACGCCTACAGAGGAAACAATGAAACCACCTCTCACTTGAGCACACTGCACTGGTGGTAATGTGCAAACTGCTCAGGGAGTATGTGCCCCAGGGGATGATGGGAATTGAGGCTAAAAAGACAACAGGGGCCAAATCACAAACGTGGGCAGGACTGGGTAAGGACCTTGAACTTCATCCTGTAAGAGTTTTAATGAGGGCAGTGGAAGTGACCATTTTTGCTTTCTAGACAGTTTGTTCTGCAGTGGGGAGAGGAGAGGGTGATTAAGAAATCTGTGAGGGATAAAATCATCTTAGTCCAGGTGGTGAAGCAGAGATGAGAAAGAACAACTAGCTCTCCTCATGGACTGACTGATGGCAGTGCAGACACTCAGCTGGGCTGGCTGTTAAAATAGTACAAATACTTCCAATTTGGTTGCTAATTGGTCACTGTCCTGTCCCCTCCATGACACTCTGGCTTGTCCCTGGAACCTGGCAGGCACCATCCTTCAAGAGGTTGAGGACAGAAGAGGGTCTCAGGTCCTCCCTCCTCCTGACTGATCTGATTTGTGCCATCCTGTGTTAAATATCTATATCTACATCTATATCTATATACTCTACTTATATAAAAACCATGGGTGGTGTTCATCACAACCTGAACCACCGCAACCAAGCGGAAGGAAGTCAGTCCTGCAGGGGTTGTCTTGGCAATGGCTGTGCCCTCCCCTGAGCTGTTTCTTGGAGCTGTTTCCGGTGAGGGTGGGGTTTGAGGCAGGAACCCGCCCTTGAAGCGTGGACCCACTGAATCCTGGGTCATTTTGCCAAGGGCTGCGCCCTCCCCAGCTGTTTCCCATGTGGCCTGAGGGAAGAACCCACCCTCAGAGCACCAGGAGCGCCCAGCAGTAGTCATTTCTGGGTTGCTAAGGTGGAGGCCATGGCGTGGTAGAACTCTGGGTCTGGCCCAACAGGGGGCATGGCCAACTTTCAAACCAGACCCTGACAGTAGAAAGGAGGGAGCCCCATTCCTCACAGAATCCGCTGTTGGATAGCTTGCTGTCAGTGGCCTGCCAGCCAGGAACCCCATTCTCCTGCACCCCGGACCCTGACAGGAGGGAGGAGGGAGCCCCTTTCCTCACGGAATCAGCTTCTTCTGTTACTGTTTATTTATTAATAAATTTATATATTATTTTCATATACATTTTACTAATTTCCTTTCATCTCTCACACTTCTATTATAGAGAAAGGGCAAATAGCAATATTAAAATATCTCTGCTAATTAATTCCCTTTTTAAAAAAATATATTTTATTGATTTTTTACAGAGAGGAAGGGAGAAGGATAGAGAGTTAGAAACATTGATGAGAGAGAAACATCAATCAGCTGCCTCCTGAACACTCCCCACTGGGGATGTGCCCGCAACCAAGGTACATGTCCTTGACCGGAATCGAACCTGGGACCCTTGAGTCCGCAGGCCAATGCTCTATCCACTGAGCCAAACCGGTTAGGGCAATTAATTCCCTTTTAATTTCGTGCACTGGGCTACTAGTATATAATAAAACCCTAATATGCAAATAGACCGAATGGTGGAACTACCAGTTGCTATGATGCACACGACCACCAGGGGGCAGATACTCAATGCATGAGCTGCCCCCGGGTGGTCAATGCATTCCCACAGGGTGGATATCCCCTGAGGGGTCCCAGACTGCTAGAGGGTGCAGGCAGGGCTGAGGGACCCCTCCCCCACAGTGCATGAATTTTGTGCACTGGGCCTCCAGTCTTTAATATTACCCCTGGCATTGCCCATCAGAACAGGGGCCAAGGGTGATCAGGATAGAGGCCACAGACAGGGATGCACTCAGGCCCATCACATACTGAGCCCTACAGAACTCTTCATACCTGCCTTCTGCAGCCTCCCTCATGCTCGCCAATTCCATGAAACTGGGTACCCTGTGCATGCCATGTGCCTGTCAGAGGTTTTGGATGCCCCACAGAGGATTCACCCAGCTCCTTAAATCCTGTTGACACTTCAGAAGGCCTCCTAAGTTGTCATTACGTCTGTGAAGCTTTGCTGAGCTTGTCCAAAGTTGGTTGGTCCTTCCTTTATGTTCCTGCGGCCCTTTGTACATTTTGTACATGCTTATCTTGTTCTATTTATCCTACTGCACTAATTACTCAGCTACAGCTTGATCCCCTTCAATGGAATGTAATATCCTCCAAAACAGGGGCCATGTTTCAGTCATCTTAACCCCAGTGTCAGGATCGATGCCTGGTGCACAGTCAGGACTCATTAAATGTATGTTAAATTAATTAATTAATAGCTTTTTTTTTTCCTACGGGGACTTTATCCTATTAGTTATCTTCTATATAGTCATGCCTACATGATGAGTTGTAACCATCAGGTCATAGTCTGAAAATAGGATACCTTAAGATAGATAAACTTGAGGCTATAAAATTTACCTGGTAAGTGTTGGAGCCCAGATCTGCTTATGGTGCTATATTCACACAAAGTAACCAAATGTGATGCCAGGCCTTCTCTTTTTTCCATATC